GGGGTAGCCAGGCAGGCAGGGAGGAGCTGGCGCAGCTCGCCTGCGCGCCGGGCACGTAGCTGCTTCGGGACGAGGGGGGGAAGACGACGGAGGGCTGCAGTGGTGGGCTGGGCCGGCCAGCTGCAGTGCTGGGCCGGTTGGCTACCAGGTGAGCGCCAGGTAAGATTCTCTCTCTCTTGTTTTATATTTCTGTTCTGTTTTTCTTTTATTAATATCTTTTGCCATTGTTTTGAATTTAAACAAATTCAAACAATGCCAAAAACTCCTCTGAATATTTTTATTTTGCTAGATGGACTTTTCCAAAAGCTCATAAAATATTTCAGGGGTATTTGAAATTATATTCTAATTATATGAATATAATTCAAATTCAAATAGCTAATGATTTAAATTCAAAGTCCCAAAAATAAATCCTTAAAAATGTTCAATATTTTGGTTGGGACCAGAACCCTTGCCAAAAATTATCAAACATGTAAGAAGAGCATTTTGGAACAATGAATGAGATTTTAGGGTTTTTGCCCTTCTTTTATTTAAGTTTTTGAGGCTTCCAAATTTCCTCAGTTCAAGTTTCAAAATTTAAACATGATGCATGGATGCAGATGCCACTAATTACAAGCAAGCTCTAGGGCTGTGACAATATAGTTTTAGTAGTAGGTCCGATGTGTTAACTCTGTCCCACCCTGCATGGCGTATGCTATAACGCATGATTGTAATAACCTTTTAATTAATTAATTAATATATGGGGTGTTTAAAAAAATATGCTCTTGATTGTAGCAATAGGACTATTCATGTCTTTGACTGTAGAGGAAGGTGAATGTCTTATACAGACCATAGTAACTACCAGCGGTCCAGGCTCTTCATTCGCCGAGGAAGAGCTCATTTGCTTCGATGACGATGATGATTATGAGGAGGGTGGTCGTCCAAGGGGAAGAAACCAATGTGTGGCAACGGGGAGGGCATCATCCATGTGTTGTCCTAGGGGTCTTCCAAGGGGAAGGAGCCCGTGATCATCTCCGGCGATGAGTAGTTGTTCGTTTTTGCTAATTACCCTACTTTCTTTAGTAGTTGATACCATGCGATGTTTAACTATGTTATGTTTATTTCAGTTATGCATAATGTGATGTTTAAACATGCACTATCCACTTTAGTTATCCAAATAAGACTCAATGGCTATGTGGTTGCTGTTAAACATGTTGTAGTTAACATGCCTTTTAATATTTAATAACTTTGTTGGCTTACTGGGATGTTAAATATTCACAATCGATCTATTAATGATAGTGTGGCAGTTTTATTTTCTTTCAGTTTGTACTTACGTGGGGCGACAATGGGAGATGTAGTGTACCATCGAGATTAGCTTCATCAAATGGCTTATACTAAATCATTGTGCAATTACAATCTACTTTGTAATACATACTGTTTGCATGTGTGTACATATGAGGTATAGATCCACACTCGAGATCCACCCCTCGACCTTTTTTATGCATAAGGCAATGAGATATTAATGAACATAAATCAGTTAAGGAAACTAAGAAAGATGGTAAGTATGAGACACTGATGATGACAATTAAATTCTTTGTTTACGTTTTATCCAAGACCATGTGAACTTTAGGATGATAAAAACTATGAACTTTCTTTTTCCTGCCCACAATGAGTATTTAGGCAACAATATCTGAATATTTTCATTATATTGATTCTCAAACCAGTTTACTGAAGGTTACCTTGAACAACATGATTGGTGCTGACGCAAATAAAACTAAAATATTTCACTTGATGACTATAATGAATTAGAAGTATTCCTCAAGATGGTGAAGGATGAGCGGACGATCATCACAAGGGGTTGCATTAAAGTTATGTGCGCCTTTGGTATGAAGGAGCACACAATATGGTCATTCAACTTCTTCGTCTAGACCAACAACACAACGTTTTTCTGGTAGACACGCCGCCTTACAACACATAATGAGAGTTACCCACACTGGTAAAATGGTCTTTCTCGGTCTTAGCGATCACAAGCAACTATCAGCAAGCCATGGCGAAGATAGTTGTGACAGAGGAGGCAAGATGGCTGAAGCCGGACCCAAAGTTTGTCAAACTTAATGTGGACGCGGCCTTTTTTACGAACAAAGGAGTTGGAGCTACGGCAGCAATTATTAGAGATAAACGAGGTATTTTTCTCACAGCTCAATGTAACTTTATCCCCTATGCAGCGGACGCAATGTCATCAGAGACAATGGCGATGAGAGACGGACTAAACTTGGCAAATAGCCTAGGGTTCCAGCGAGTTGAAGCGGAATCCGACTCGCTAACGGTGATCAACTGCTGTTTCGGTCACAGTACTTGGTAGGACGCGGCGGCAGCGATATTTGCAGAATGTGTGGACCTACCTTGATTGAGAAGGTCAAGTTTAAGCATTGTTTTCGATCATCAAATCGAGCGCCACATGTTCTAGCTAGGTTTAGTTATTGTAATAAAGTTTCTTCTAGTTGGATCGACGAGCCTTCAGATTGTCTGGTCAGCAAGCTCGTAGATGATGTATCTCTAGTGATTAATCAATAAAGCTAGCCATGATGACCTTTCTTAAAAAAACACAACGTTTTTCGTCTCTTTAATGCTGCTATGGTCCTTGTTTTAATTTGGTGCTCCTGTAATGTTTGAATGTATGCTATTGTGATTTGAATTATGCAATGGTGGTTGAACCTGTGTAGATTGAATATGCATGCTGAATATGAAACATGCGATTGCCTATTTTCGAATACAAATTCTGAAGAATTTCCAATTGTAGGAATTAAATTATGGAAACAGCCCAGTTGTGCTGGTCGTTACAGTGCACACAGTATTCAAAAACGAAACGTGCGCGATGAACCAGCTCACATGCTTTAACTGCGTTTGGTACCGTTGGAAGTTCACCGATACCATGCGATGTGGTTGACGGGTGATCTTTAGCCATGCCGTAATGCTCGAAACGCAGGGGTTAATTAAGTCGGGCTCTCTTCCTCCGTGTACTGCAGGTGTGGCGCCTACAACTTGTACCGTACTAGCAAGGAGTAAAATCGATCGCTACAAAAAGGTTCTCGTTCGAGAGTTCGTACGTTTCGATTACACTCCGTCTAGTGCAGCTAGGCTAGGGCGCTAGGCTAGGCAGCAGACATGATGACCGTCCCGCTTGTTGTCGCGCTGTTCAACTCGCCCTTCGTCCTCACCACCCTCGCCTTCCTCCTCTTCACCCTCCTCGTCTCCAAGACGCGCAGCAATGTTGCTGCCCGGGGAACGTTGCCTCCGTCGCCGCCCAGCCTGCCAGTCTTCGGCCACCTTCGTCTACTCGGGAGCCTGCCGCACAGGAGCCTCCGGTCACTGGCCGCGTCCTACGGCCCGGTCATGTACCTACGCCTCGGGCGTGTGCCCACCGTCGTGGCGTACTCCGCGGCCGCCGCGGAGGAGGCCATGAAGACCCGCGACCTGGCCTTCGCCAGCCGCCCCAAGCTGTTCATGGTCGACCGGTTCTACTACGGCACCGGCGGCATCGGCTTCGCGCCGTACGGCGAGCACTGGCGCCAGGCCCGCCGCGTCTGCGTCACCCACATGCTTAACCCGCACCGCCTCCTGTCCTTCAGGCGCGTCCGGGGGCAGGAGGTCGCCGCCCTCGTCGACCGGGTCCGCCGCGCCGGTACCGTCGTGAACCTGAGCGACAACCTCATCGTCTACTCTTTCACCGCCATCTCTCGCGCCACCTTTGGCGACACGGACTACGGGATCGACGGCGAGAGGGGGGAGCGAGGCTGAGGAAGGTGTTCGCCGAGATCGAGGAGCTTCTCGGCACGGCCCCCATGGGGGAGAAGGTGCCATGGCTGCGGTGGGTCGACGTCCTGACGGGACTGGAGCGGAAGACGAGGCGCGCGTTCGAGGAGATGGATGGACTGCTCGAGCGGGTCATCACGGACCATCGCCAAAAGAGCGGCGCCGGGGACAACGACCAGCGTGACTTCGTGGACGTGCTGTTAGGGGCCAACGAGCTCGACACGAACGGCATCAAGGCCATCATCCTGGACATGCTTGCCGCCGCCACGGATTCAACGTTCACGTTGCTGGAATGGGCCATGGCGGAGCTCATCAACCACCCGCAAGAAATGCGCAAGCTCCAGGACGAGGTCCGCACGGCCGTCGGCGACGCCGGCCACGTCACCGAGGATCATCTGCCGGATCTACGCTACCTGAAGGCCGTCGTCAAGGAGACCCTCCGGCTCCACCCTCCCACGCCGCTCCTCCTGCCCCGGGAGACGGTCGAGGACACCCAGCTGCTCGGCTACCACGTCCCGGCAGGCACGCGGGTGCTGATCCACGCCTGGGCCATCGGCCGTGACCCGGCGACGTGGGGCGACCGCGCCGAGGAGTTCGTGCCGGAGAGGTTCTTGGAGTACACCCACGAGATGGGGCAAGACTTCGCGTTCTTGCCCTTCGGCACCGGGAGGAGAGGTTGCCCCGGGGTCAAGTTCGCCATGCCGTCCAACGAGCTGGCCCTCGCGAGCCTGGTGTACCATTTCGACTGGGAGCTAGCCGGCGGGAGGAAGCCGCCCGTGGACATGACCGAGCTGCACGGGCTCTCCGTGCGCCTGAAGACGCCTCTGCTTCTGGCTGCTAAACCGTGGTCAGGCCGTGGTGTCGAATGAGAGAAAAGCGTCTCTACATGCTTCTTCTAAGTAGTACGAGCTAGCTCAGAGCTCGGATGATCATTATCGACCAAGTCTAGTAATGTACTCCTTCATGTATTGTTCACTTGTTAATTTCCTTACCCGTATTTGTTGAGCAGTAACTTCAAACTGGGACATGGCCTTTCAGTATCATTTCTTTTTGCACTCTGTGTGTACGCGTTTATAGCACCACTAATGGCAAATTGAAATAACTTTATTTTTTCTTAAAAAGGAGGATGACCCCCGGCCTCTGCATCTCGGAGATGCATACGGCCACTTTATTGATTATTCTTGAGGACCTTACAAAGTATTACAACAATGTGCCTGAATCCACCATCTTGTCAACACATGCCACTACTCCTATCCAAAATGATGAAGGGGTGCTAGCTGCGCCACTACCCAAACCACTCACCTAAGCCTAACATCAAAAGCCGGAAAGCCGAAACATATTTGGAAGCCCCAGCCGAGCCACATACCGGGTCTGGGGCAAAATCCGGTCAGACGCACTCGTGTGTCGCCGCCGCCATCTTCCATAGGTCCATCTTCAGATCATATTGAGGCTTGTACCTTGTCTGGCCACTTTGCCATCGACGTCACCATGACGCCAGACAGCAACCTCCTCCTGCGCGAGTCCATCTCCGTGGATCGGACGCCGAGCCTCCACAACGCCATGCCGCCGATATCCGCCGCCATCGATGTGTGAGATGAAGCACCGCTCCACCATCCCCCAGCCAGCACTTACTCCAAAATGATGCCCTCAAGAGGGAAAGCAATAAAACGCCATCATCGTCCGATCCGGAAGACCCAGATTGAGGGTTTCCCCCAGAGAATCCCGAGCCCGATGACGCAGACTGCAACGACGATGCCTTGACAAGGGCACGACATCTAAGACGTCGCCATCGTCCGCCATGACCGTAGTCGGTGCGATTTTCATCGGCAGTTGCTCCACCAGACGTGCGCCGACATCGCTGGTCCCTTCAACCGTAGCAAACTCCAAAACAATGCCCTAAAGAGGGACCACGACGCAAAAGCGCCGCCATCGCTCGATCCCAAGGAGATATAGGGTTTCCCCCGTAGTTGTCCGCGCTGTCAAGGGCCAGACAAGGGTAGAATCCTGCGGATCTGCCCAGCTGCCGACGAGTCGCACCCACCACCGTGCCGACGGTTGACCAGCGATCAATCCGACTGCGCCGCCGCGAACCTATCCGGTCACGCCGCCGCCGTCCCTGGCGGCCGCGACGCACCACGCAAGGCCTCCTGCCACAGGGAATCGACGTCGCTGGCGCCGCCACCACCCGCCGTGGCGACTGGCCCGCGCCAGCCCCAGCCGAGCGAGAGGGCCCGAGTCCCCGCCGCCGCCGGCGACGGCTAGGCTTCGCCTGGCCGCGCCCTTGGACGGCGGCGAGGGAGGAAGAGGAGGAGTGGGGGAGGTTCGGCGACGATGGGATCTGGGGCCTCCCGGTCGCCCACGCGGGTGGCGGCTCGGGAGGGAGACGTACGGGACGGGATGGGATCTCTTAAAAATAGGGGAGAATTTCACTTCCCCAGCCTATGCACCAACTAAGGATGCATACGATCATTTTTAGTATGAATACCAAGATAAACATGGTCCTCAGATTTTTTTTAAATGAGTATCAAGATATTTTTTTATGAGTGGTTCCATCACACATCAAACCTGATCCTCAATAATGGGGAAAACTCCTGTGCATCACCTGTCAATTTTAAAAATTAAACTCGGGTCGTTAGGCTGCACAACCGCATGCCCAACCATTGAACCAAGGCTCTCTTTGCAAATTGAAATAACATTCTCAAAAAAAAAGTCAGACATGATTTGAAGCTATACGGTGGGTGGTATTGCAAAGAAGCAAGCCTGCAGTGTGTTGGGCAATCTTAGGGAAGCACAATTGGCCACAGTAGAAAAATAATTCGTACGGGAACATGTGGCTGGATTGAATCCTTGGCCTGTTTTTCTCGCTAAAGGATGAAGTGCAAATCGAGTTCAAAGCTTTGTTTCAACTACATCTCGTAATCTAATGCATAACTTGGTAGAAAAATAATTCGATGTAATGCAAATGTGTGAAGCGATGTGTTCAAAATCAATACAATTACTGAACTACTACCATTCTTGAATTAAAAATGCACGCTACCAATGTAGCTAGAATTTTAAATTTGGACATTCGTTTGTTTATTTGCTGACTTGATCTCAACAAACAAATAACACCCTGTAATCATCACACATCTCGAACAAATAACACTTCGTAATCATCACACATCTTGAGAGAAAACACTGTCTTTTCAAGCGTCAAAACCAACAAGAAGGGGTGGATGCGCTTTGTTGTGTCGTTGGTGTTGTTGGGTTTTCATAAAAAAATTGCTCCCTCTATTCCAACATATCATGTGTATTTTTTTTTGAAAAATCAAACCTCTTTAAGTTTAATCAAATATGTAGAGAAATATATCAATATTCATACTATCAAATCGGCGTCATTAGATTCATCATGAAATAATTTCATATTATATATATTTAGTATTGTGGATGTTGATATTTTTGGCTCTAAATTTGATCAAAGTAAAAGGAATTTAACTTTTCAAACACCTTATATTTTGAAATTGAGGGAATATTTGGTTTGATTAGTGAGGGAGATGGTGGAGTGTGTTTTCTCTCTATTTATAATGTGGTGTTTGATGAGCCTTTCGCAGTGTATTCTATGTTAAGTGCTAACCAATCCACATTTATGTGGTGAAATTTTCTACGTCGGTGATTGCATGTACTATATTGGTGCTACAGTATCACATGGTGTTGCTTTTCTTTCTTGGTGGTGAGAGGATGCATGTGACGCTCCGAGACCGATGCTCGAGAAGACTTTCTTATGTTCCGGGTTTCTCCGTGTGTTTTCATTTGTGCCTGCTCTTTTAATTTTTTTTTGCATTGCATCTTGTTATCGTATCATCATGTCATAATCTTTTGCATCTCAACTAAATAATTTGTGTGGATCTTCGATCCATTTAAATCGAGGGAAGAGTAACTTCTCTTTATAACATACCCTCCCGATAGTAGGGAGCTATATAAAATATTCCATTCGTGTGGAATTACCTTGACACACTTGCAAAATATTTTCCCCATGCCTTCGTCCCATGCATCATCTTCTTCTCTTTTCCTTATATTTCATGTCTTTTGCTAGTCCCATTTTCCCCTTCTCTTTTAATGTCCATTCTTTTCCTATAAATTCTAGACCGTGCCAGGACCACTTCCTCCAATTTTCAGATCCTTTGGACTTGTTTTGGTAGGGTTCAAAAATGGCTTAAGTTTGAATTTAATTCAAATTTGAATTATTTTTCTATCTATAATATTTGCCAAGTCCTTTTTTTTCAAATTGTGCATAATGCAAGGACTCCAGATACATTCTCATATCTCTCTCACGCCTTCGCTTTATCTTTGAGCTTTTCCCACTTATTCTCTGTTTGAGGAAATTGTGAATAGAAGGAATAAGGGGGGAAGGGAGAGCCCAGCTCTAGCGGCGGCAATGCAGCCCAACACCAGCAGCAATTGGGCTGGCCTCTAAGGCCCAGTCGCCCCAGGCCCATCCTGCCCTGTTAACCTAGCCTCGACCCACATCTCCCCTCGAACCCCTCCTCCTTTTTCGTTCCTCCCAGCGCGGCCAGGAGAGCACCGCATGGTCGCGCCGTCCGACTCCCATGTCCTCGATCTCCCCTCGAACCCTTTCTCTCGATCCATGGCCTCCTCCCTCTGCTGCCCAGATCCCACGCCGGCCCCTCCTTCCATCGCGCCTCGATCCGATCCCCTCCTGCCGCGAGCACCCGTCTCCGACGCCCGCGCCCGATCTCCCTCCGGCATCCACGTCCAGCGCCGGCCCTGCCGCCGAGCGATGCCCGCTCTTCGGTCCGGCGTCCCGCGCTGACCCCATCACCATCGTCCATCCTGTCGCCGGAGCCCGGCGCCTCTACCTCTCCTCTGCTCCCGCCTGCTTCACCTCCCCGTGCTCCAGTTGCGCCGACATCCGAAGCTCCAAGTCCTCCGCCTTCATTGTTTGTCCCAAGATCCGGCGAGGTCACGGCCGGACCCAACTCCGGTGCCCCGTCACCATCGGTGCTGACCTCCACCGCAGGAGCCGCGTCGTCGCTGCCCTGTTTCTGTTTTGTTCGCCAAGTCCCGCAGGAGGCCACGCGAGCCCGCGTTGACCACGTTGGTGTGGGTCCCTTTCGCCAGCAGCCGCACGTCACACATACCTCAAGTCCCAGCGGCCTCGTTCGCCTTTGCGCTAGCCCTGCTCCAGAACCACCAAGACCGTCCAGGATTCGTCAAGAACCGGTTTGAGTATGACTATCGCCGATACCCCGAGGACACCGAGTACAACTACATAGGGTGATGCATCAAGTTCCGGGGCTGTCTACATGGTAGTACCACTACCGTCACCAAGACCAAGATGGCGCCAAAAGTACCAAGACAAACGGGAACGACTACCGAGGTCCCTCCAAGTTCGACCAAGATTGCCGTGTACAACTACCGTCGACTCGGATTACGCCAAGTACACCGTCGGCCTTGGTTTCACCAAGACCACCTCGAGTACGACTACCACAACACCGATGACATGAACGTCTATGGAAACTCGTGCAACGATAAACATGTACCACTACCGTCGCCAAGTTCGCGAGAACCTCTACCGTCGCGAGAACGCCTACTTCCTCTACGAACTTGAATCTGTCCCGCTTGCACGCTTCGAAGGTATAACCTCGAGACGACGTCCGTGAACGAATGCTTGCGATGTTTGAGATGCTCGTGTCTGCACCGTGTCCATTGTCACTCGTTTCCTTGTCGCCAACTCGTGGGACACCTGGAATCCGAGAGCGCCCCACCATCTTCTGCACGCATCCGCACACTTCTCCTTTGCATCGGTATCTCAATCGAGTTACCAGAACCGGAATGTTGCCGTGGCACCGTTTTCGTTACCGTTGCTGTG